TTGTATGCGATTCCATTTGTAAAGCATTCTTTTTTTTCAAACTTTCCGTTAAAGGTTTCGTAACAATTTTCATGGTACGCATTGAATTTTGAAAGCTCGTTTTTTTCATCGTGAACCCTGCTTGTGAAGGTGTAGACGATGAGGTCAGATCACTTCACTTTTATACTCACTGCTATTGTACGATTTAAATATAGTTTAATTCGCAAAACTTATTGTTAAAAATAGGATAAGGCATAAGGCTATCTACAGATGTACATCCCACAATCTAACGGCCAGAGCTTAGGAATCTGTTATGGTTACAACAAAGTTTTCTTTTTCAAAATAATTGACGACAGTTATTAGAGTTTTCCAAATAGTTCACTCTATGCTCAAAATCTATTTAGATCGTAGATAATAGCTAAAAAGACTGTAGATAATGCAATATGTAATCGATAATACGTAGATAATAGGTAAATTGATAGATGATACGTAGAAGATAGTGGATAAAATATCGAAAACAATCGATAGATAATCTTTTTCATTTTACCGCTTCGTACTCGTTACCCATTTTGTCCTTGCTAAAGTACGTGGGTAAGTAAATAATGCGCATCCCCCTTTTTTTACAATTGCACTGCACATACAGCCGAAGCATATAAAAAGCACCGATTTAAATTAAAAATTTAATAAAAATTTCTTGTAATTATATTATATTACGCTCAGTCAGCTAAAGAGATTCTCCACTTCCAATATACAGAAAATGAATGTTCCATATGAAAAGTTCATGTGATCATCTTATTGTTTTTTTTTTTTTTTTAACATGTATTGTAAAAGAAAGAATTTTGTTGTAATGCCTTTTAGAGGAGAGAGAACTATTGCTTCCATTTTCATAGATGTCGTCATTGCCATCGCAAAAGCTAACGATATCGGATAGATATAGACTAACACAAAAGCATAGACTAACCAAGCCACAGTTTGTTGGGGCGAATGAGCAAAACCTGCGTATTCATGAGCCCCTGTCATTTGACAAAGATCAGCATCAGTTCAATTAGATGACAGAACCGTTTTTGCGATCCGTGGGCAAAATGTCAAGTGCACAATGTTAAATATGCTTAGAAATTTATTAAACACGCCGGGGATTATATTATATAAAAGTAAGTTCTCTTTTTTCCTTGTATAGAATATAGTTCACATTAGGCTCCAAATAGTACAGATTTCAAAAAAAAAAAAAAAAAACATATGAAAATTACATCGACGTCTGATTCAATTCCTATGCCTATATCAAATCAACGAAAAGACTTTTGAGTTCAAATTTTAATTCAAATGTTGCATGAATCGCTCCTACCTTCGACGGGCGTTGACTAGGGTGCAATCTTAGATAATGTCTATGTTACCTGAATTATTCCTTTAGTGTTTCATAAGCGAAATTGAAAAAGCATTAACGTTTCAAATTTTTCAACTTTTGAAATTTTGAAAAGTTCTCTTAAATACTCCTTAACGCACACTAGTACTAGTACTTCCTTAGTCAACTCTTGAATTTTCAAATTAATCAATTTCTTTATTGCTTATTAACTTTTTTAATCTATTATTAATAATGCATTAATAATAGTTACTTGCATCCCTGGAATCACCTTTCGTTCTTAACTTAGGCAAAGAAAGTGAATAAAGATAACAATAATTGCTGAATTCTTTCATAACGTGCAATCTGTCCATTGAATTCAAAACAAGTTCAAATAATTCATCTCTCATTATCAAGGCTGATCTCTATTAAATTGAATAAATAACTTAATGTTAAGTTTTTGTAATATTTGGTTTGCGTTTATCATGGACGGAAAGACTGTTGGGCGAGCTGAGAACCCCAATGTTCACGAATTGAATGTAAAAGATAATGAATTTCATATTACTCGGCTTTTTTTCAAACCTTAATACGGCCAGATACACGCATTCATTAGTTATACTTTCCCTTTGAACTACAAAATGCGTTAAACTTTATAAAACCAATCATTCAAAATAATAAAGATTTGAATCGAAATGAAGTGATTTTTTATAAAAAAAAAAAAAATACTTACATAAAAATTCATAAAAATAAAAAAATTATAGGAAGCATGTTAAAACAATAACACACGAATGCCTGCAAATGTACGTATATATATATATATATATATATATATACATATCTATCTACCTACAAATGGACGCAAAAGTGAAACGAGACCAAAACAGCAGCAGTAGCAAAGACACCTAAATCATAAAACGATGTCATGAACAAATGCAACAAATATGAAGAGAAAAATAGCAAAAAAGAAAAAAAAATAAATGAAACCTATGAAACCGCGAGAAAAAGTCAAAAATGAAAACGTCATCATGTGAAGAAAAAAAATTCCTTTAAGAAAAAAAAAAAAAAAAAACAAACAACCAGAAGAATTACAAAACATTTAAAAGAAATCATCAATAATGGTGATAAACCAGAGCATTTACTGAAAGCAAAAAAAAAAAAAAAGTATTACAGAAACTAAGACGATCTACAATATATAGAATAAAACGAATAAGCATAACCTACACAAACGCAATGCTGGGTTAGTAGAGCGCACAGTAATTAAGAAAAACACACAGAGACAGAGAGTGAGAGAGAGTGAGAGTGAATAACAAGAGAACAGATGAGCTCTTTCGTCAAATAATATTGCATAAATTTTTGTTAACTACAAAAGAGAGCTTTACTTTCCCTTTCAATAAAATGCGATTGAAAGAGTGAATAAATTAAAAGAGAAATAAATACACAGAGGGAGCCAGTAAATAAAAGCTTTAACTAGTAAAAATTTTAACGCATACTAAGAATAAATGAAAAAGAGATGCATCTAAGCAAATGTTCTCTCGTTTTTTTTATATAGTGATGAGTAAGCAAGCCATCGTTTCGTTCATGCTTTTGTTATTTATTTTTTTTTTTTTCTTTTCAATGAAAGTGAATTTTCTGTTGTATTTACATGATAACATTAAAAGAGAATCTTTTTGGTTTTTTTTTTTTTTTTAATTTGCTTTTGATTATGTTACGCTAGGTTATGGGAGTCTGACGGTATTGCTTTGCTTCTTCTACTATAGTACTAAAGGTATTATAGTACTTTATAAAATATGTTATCTCAATAACTATACAGTTTGTTAGGTTGACTGACGACGCTAATGTAGACATTAGCTTAAACGCCTCGTGTGTTTGGCTGACTGCTAACTATACACTATTGAACAAAAAAAAAAAAGAAGAAAAAAAATAGAGTAGTAGTGTACTGCGGGTATCCTCGCACACACATTTGTCTTACATTTCAGTCAATCGAGATACGTGGTTGATGTTGGTCGTGTTTTCGGCAGCAACATATATATATATATACATATATATGTATATATATGTATATATGTATATAAATATGTATATACATACACATATTTAATAAAAACAATCAAAAAATATATAAAATACAAACACAAGCGTAAAGCTGAATAACAATAAAATTTGATTATAATTTTTTTCAACACAACAATTATAAGCAAAACTGTTATGATAAAAATTTGTTTAAAAAATAAATAAAAGTATTATACCGAAAATAACTTTTAAAAATTAAGAGACCCAAAAAGAAAACAAAAAATTTTTAAATAAAAAATAAAGTGGCCTTTGTTTATACAATAACAACCCAAGGATTATGTTCATTGTATAAACTTGACACTTTTTCTGTTTTGTTTTTTTTTTTTTTTACCTGTTAAAAGAAATGTATAAATTTTAATAAATAATTTAAAAAAAAATATAAATAAATAAAAAAAAAGATTAAAAATAAAATTTGAAAAATTCTTGTGATTCTCTTAATAAATGAAAAAAAAAAAAAAAATTATTATTAATATTAATAAGCTAAGAATCTATACAGAAAAAACGTTGTGGAATATTATTTAAAGAAATGAACGAGTCTTAATTATTAAAAAAAAAAAAGAAAAAAATAATAATAATAATAATAATAATACTAATAATACTAATAATAATAATAAAAAAGAATACCACCTTATAATTATTTCCCATTTGCGGTTTAGAACATGAACTTAAAGATAAAATTTTAAATGGAATTTATTTTAATTAATAAAAAAATTAGGACATTAATTAAACAAAAAAAAAATTTTTTTCATATATTATAAAATTAATTATAAAACATACAACAAAACCTCATTATAATAAATAAATCGAGATAAAAAATCCAAACAATTTTATTAAATTTCTAACAAAAATCCTTAAACAAGAATTTGTGTTGTTTTGTGGTAAATTTTTACAAAATTTAACTAAATATGAAAAAAAGCTTCCCTGGCAGTTAAATTTTCTTTAATAAATCAATTAAGAATGTATTACAATAATTAATTAATTAATTAATAATAGTAATCAAATATAAAATTTCTTTTGCTTTTAATTTCCAAATAAAATTACAAATAAAATCAAGCTTTGTAAACATAGGAATAATTAAATCGGCGTGACCTAAATCTTCCAATTCCTCAGCTCTAATTTATATGAGAGAATAATCTAAAAAAAATAAATAAAATAATTAAAAAATACCACCCAAGTACCTGCCCGTGTAATACAAATTTTGTTTTTTTTTTATTATAATAAAAATCATTTGAAAAGATGTTCTGTTGATTTTGCGTTAGGACCACCAAAAATGTTTAACAAAAAAAAAAAAAAAACAAAATAATGCGTAAAAATTAATTGCAAACATTTCAAGTAAAAAGATGTTAAACAATATTGTGAAATATTAAAAAAAAAAAAAAAAAAAAGAAAGCGAAAAAAAAATTTGAAAACCGTCCCTCTCCTTTAGTAAACATACACATGCATAAACAAAATCCCACCTCACACAGACAAAGAAAAAATTCTGCAAATCTCTTGAAAGTAAATGATAAAAAAATGAAAAGTTGAAACCAAAAAAAAAAAACAAAAATTAAAAAACAAATAACAACTTTACAAACAACAAAAAAAAAAAAAAAAAAAAAAATTTGTTAATTAATAAATTAAAGTAAAAGTTAACCTAAAAAAATTTTGAAAAAATTCCAAAATTATTTAATTAAAAATGCTTTTAAAAATGGAACAACAGCAAGCGACGGCGTCGTTTATCTCGTCGCTAAATATGTCACCATTTTCTTTGCAATTGGATCAAGAGCAGCAACCTTCAAGTCCGGCATTGGCAACGGCAACGGGCAATTCCAATCAATCGTCAACGAATCAACTGCTGAGCGCTGCTGCCAATGCTGCTAACAATAATGAGAATAATGATAATTTCAATAACGCCGGCGATACCAATGATTATTCGTATACTTTGCATATAACTCCTTCGTCGCAAGCGGCAGTGGCAGGTCATCAGCAGCAACAACAACAGCAACAGCAGCATCAACAACATCAACAACATCAGCAACAACAACAGCAACATTATCAACAGCAACAATCCCATTATCAACAACAACAGCAACAAACTCAACAGCAACAGCAACAACAACAACAACAAAATATTGCCAATAATCCAAATTTTCAATATTCCTATATCTACAATATCGACTCTCAATATATATTTCCCACAGGTTATCAGGACACAACATCCTCGCATTCACAACACAGTAACAATGGCGGTGGCGGCGGCGGTGGTGGTGCACCGCCCGGTCCGAATCCCACCACCTCGCAAACAAATGCCGGCGGGGCTGGTGGCAGCGGTATATCACTTATTAACGGTGTGGTTACATTAAACAATCAAACATCGGCCGGTGGTCCGAGCGGTAACAGTTCCGTGGCCCCTACTGCCACGGGAGCTTCTTATATGTCATTACTGCCACCGGCTGTAGGGGCGACCAGTTCGTCAGGATCACATTTGGCTGTTAATTCTTTGGGTGGCACTAGTGCCACAACTTCCGGTTCAACAGCAGATGTTATTGATTTCAAACATCTCTTCGAAGAATTATGTCCGGTGTGTGGTGATAAAGTTAGTGGTTACCATTACGGTCTATTAACCTGCGAATCGTGTAAAGGTTTCTTTAAACGTACCGTTCAAAATAAAAAGGTATACACCTGCGTTGCGGAACGTTCTTGTCACATAGACAAAACCCAACGGAAACGTTGTCCGTATTGTCGTTTTCAGAAATGTCTCGAAGTTGGCATGAAATTGGAAGGTAAGTCTATTAATTTCCATTTCCATTGTTTTTTCCATAAAAAAAAATTTTTTTCAACGAAAACATAACTATCCGAATCCAGCGTTTGCGCTTTTAATTAATTAAAAAAATGTTTCTCTATCTTTAACGGAATTCTTTGAAAATTTTTATTAAATTATTATTGCATTTTTTCCATTTTAAGTGCAAATCTTTCCTCTCTGCTAGCACGTGGACCAATTTTTGTCGCCTAAGTATAATCGACTTATAATCGACACTTAAATAAATAATATCTGGAATCTTGTACAATTTCTTAAATTCTCGTTCACTTCATTTAGCAGTCAGTCACGCACTCCATTGAATTAATAGGCGATTGTTACAGATTACCTTTTAAGAGAGTATTGCAAAAGAATACCGTTAATTGGCAGCTTACTTTCGGAATTCGGATGCGATTTACTTTTCTTCACAGAATGCACAATAAATTTCAGTTTATTTTTCTAAAGAAAAAAAAAAGAAAATTTCGAAATGATAGGAGAGCGACACATTCTATATTCGATATTTTCCTTGATCTAGATCTATATGAGGTTTTCTTTACCTATTCTTATATATATCTTGTGTTAATGATCTGGCCTAGTCCGCGCAATAGATCATTAATTAATTAATGGCTTGTAATCAATTAACTGTGAATACCTTGGAGTGTACGGTTCCAATTTCACCTTAGACTCACTCATCTTGCGGAATATTGGCGAAATAAACAATTTTACCGTACTATTGTATATCCGATTATCGTTTATTGATTTTACCGTTTTTACTTATCATGACAAAATATTACGGTCTTGCCTGACCAATCATTTTTCGTATGTATCCTCACAACTTGGAATTGTAAAATGAAAAGTTGAAAAGAATAAAACTAAATTTATTAAGTCTGACTATAAATATTCATATATATAGGAGTATAGGGAAACACAAATAAACATAACCCTAAGGAGATCGTTGGATTAGTGGGAGGTCAACATACCCATATGCCGGCCGTAGACAATTAAAGCCTTGATATCATCATTTTCACACTTAGTCTATTTAGTCCAAATTTTGAAAGGAAGATAACAAATATGAAGCTTTTGATCGATCATTGCTTCTTGCCCGATATGTTTTTCAGTTTCACTTGCTGAAAATTGCTTCAATTATTATTCTTCGCTTTTAAAATGCAATTAATTATGTTTCGTATACGCCTGCGTGAACGCGTGCAGAAATTTCAACTTTCAAACGTACTCGCTAACGGAGAGCGATAAAAAAGGGATGAATAAGAAATACTATAACTGGACGATAATTTCTATTATGAAACTGTGAATAGATCCAGACTATGTATGTAGTCTTTACACGTCTTTAATTATGTTTCGCAGAATTTACAAAGCCACAAAAATTAAGATGGAAAAAAAGCTAAAAATCAGTTGCATAAATGTTAATGATCCGTTGCTTACAAAGATTAGGAAAGAGGTCCAATCATTTACTATATGGGTCCCCTTTAGTTAGCGAGTGTTCATTGGAGCGATTTAAACATTTTGAACTGAAATGATTAGTGTACGAAATTTGACTCGAAGGCGAGTATAGAGCTTTCCTTTATGCTTAATAATTTAAATTTGTACCACGATGGGGTTGCTGGATCTTTTGGCATCACTTAATGTCACTTTGAGCACAAAAATGATTTCCGGCCCCATATAATTAAGAAAATTCTTATTTAATTTTTATGCAAATATAAAAATGTATTCACTTTGAACATTTTTCATTTTCTTATTTGGTTTTTTTCGAAAAATTTTTGATTCGAAGCCGATTGCTCCCCAAGAATATTGAAAAATTTAATTCAATTAAAGTAAAAAAAAAATTTGACTAAGGGAATTAATTGAACGTCTAAAATTTCACAAGAAACACTTTAGATCAAAATCTATAACGATTATATTGCAACTTTATTATCCCTTTAAAACACGCCTATATTCCTATCCCGTGCCCTGTTGCCCGACCGGCCTGTGTTGCCTTCTAGCCACTAACTAGGATTATATATTATTGCTCTTACATTTTGTTTTTTTTTTTTTTTTCCTAAGTCCATGCAGGATGCTTGGCACCAGATTATCGGATTATAGTCTCCGTCAAGGAACAGATGCTCAGCATTTTCTGTCATCTTTCAAATACTATAAATATATGTCCAGATTCAAATTTAAACCAAATCGGTGCAAATCTATAAAAATAAATCTCAAGTCTTTATGCTTGGAACTATCCGTGACCAATAAGTAGTTGGGGCACGTAGAAATATGCGTTGCCATAATGCCTATGAATTCATTGGCTTATGTTACGGATGAGCTCGTGCGTCTATCTCCCTCTCACAGGTCGCACTTTGCCAGCCTTGCCCTCTGCCATACCTGCTGCTTCCTTAGCCAATGCATTGGCTAACGTCATGCCTTTAATGATCATAACCGCATCGTTCGAGATATTGTGAAACGCTGCAATTATTCGCACTACGCATGAGCGACATGCTGCTTGCATGCCACTTTTGTATGAGGGGATATTCAACGCTGCCGACAATAGATTTTGTTAAGTTGCCTACTTTTCTCCTTATGCGCCGACTGATGAGCGAAATAAGCGCCCGTTTGCTTACTACTCGAATACAGGTCTTCTTGGTTCATTACGCTGCGCACACAGCTCAGCTATACCATCTATCCATCAACATATTGGCATCTATTTTTTAGCGAGCTTTCACTTTGCCATCGGTCCATCACATGCTTGCTCAATGCGCCTCGTGATTAGGCCGTATCAGCATTATGGTATGGAAAACTATGACACAATTGGAATTTATACCATAATATAAACTTGGGTGTCTTCAATGCGCTCACTATTTAATATAGACTCACCTTTTATTCTACCAATCAATTCGGAATCATTTTCTAATGCTAATTTAGCTTCTCCGTCCGTCTTCCCATTTGATGCCCTCTCCATGTAGCTTTAAATTCAACCATCATGGGTCCGATAATTTTTAGTCCAAAAACCACTAAGCAACAATGTTTAAAATTTTGGAATTTAGATTACCCAAATGTTTGAGCTTTTCCCATATAACCCATACCACACGAAATATCCAGTCATATGGTAAATGTATCTAACCTTTCATATTCTTTTAAGCAAATTGATCGACAACAGTAATCTGATATAAAAATCGACTGTACCGAATCAGGTAGGACCAGATTGATCTATTTTTTCCATTTTATCGCATATAAGGATTATTAAGGATTATTATTGGTCGGCCTTGCTCCCCTTCTCTTCACTTTTTTTTGGAAATAAAATAATTCGAAATTCTTTTAACCTGCATTCTAGGATAAAATTGTTTTAACTACCAATGCCGAGTTTGATTTTTCTATCATAATGCGTGTAACGTCCAAAAGGAAGCTTCATAGACGTTATAAAGAATATGCATTCTTAATCGGCGCGCAAATCTGAATGGATTTAGCCATGTCTGTCCGTGTGATGTTTTTTGATTGGCACCTCTTTTTGGTCACAAAAATGAAGATATTAACCGTCAAATTTGGTAGAAACTTTAGAAGTTTTTATACGTACGTTGGTATTTGAAAATGGGCCAAATTAGTCAGAGCATAAGCCTGCAGTGAAATGCAAACTGAACGCAACTCTCTTTTTCTTAATAAAATTTTTTGGATTTTTTTTTTTTTTTTTTTTGCTCGTTACTCGGAAATTATTAAAGTTATAAGACTGAAATTTTACGCAATTACTTTGCGAAGCCCTCTACTTTTTAAGATATATTATCTGCCTAAAAATGGATTAATTCCAAAATGAATATGATAGACACAGCGAGCTGGTGGATTAATTTTTTCTTAAAAATACCAGCGATATGGGTATCAAATGAAACAACTTGGAGAGTGGAATGCGAAAAGGATAGTGGTCGATATGCGAAATTCGGCCTCTATCGTACATAAATTTTTTACTTGTTCGTATTCTTTCTGTTTTGATTTTTTCAGTTTTTTTTTTTTATTTATTTTTTTTTTTTCTTGTTCGCATTTTGAAAACATTTTTCATATGTTGTTTTTCATGAACATATTTTAATTTTATTAACACTTACCTGCAGATTTCACCCATACTTACAAATGCGCTAAATTGTTGTTTTCTTCTTCTTTTTTTTTTTTTCTCTTTCTATTTTTCTCTTTCTAGTCGATAATTTTATCATCCATCTATTATTTAAAATGAATGGATTTGAAACTGAATTGTCTTAAATTTTTTTATTTTTTAGTTTAATAACATGCATTAATAAAAGAAGCACTTAGAAGGGTAGAAAGACGTAAAGTCGCATTTAAGCATTTGTGTTGAAGCTAAAAATTTGTCCGTTAGCATCTCTAATTTTATGGAGGTGTGAAGTATTTTTTTCCCTTTTTTTTTTCTATTGTGATTTTCAAATTCAAAATTGCGTTCTTCTTAGTTCAGAGAAAAATCATTTCTTTTGTATTAAGGTAACTAACTATACATCGATTCTCATCATTCACAACAGCTATTTGATGCTGTCTTACCTGCTGGCAAATTGTCATCTTAAATATTGTTAATATATATATATATATATATATATATATAGACCCTTAGTTTAGTACAAGTGCTGTACATAAATGTCCTTTCAATTACATACTTGTGTAGCGAGACAATATACGTTACCTACTACCAGCGAGCACCGAGTACAGAACGTACACAAAGTACATAAATATTAAAGCAAACTATTCGTAATTTTTTTTTTTTTTTTTTCCTTTTACTTAGTATTTATCTTGCCTGCCTGTATCGACATTAAAATGAACATTGAGGCGACCTTTACTCTTAATGGTACTTCGTCCAAACCCATACGAAAGATGATGTTCTTTTCGTTAAGAGTCATTGATAATTTGCTGATTGGACACTTCGACTTGTATAAAATAATGATACAACCCCGATTTATGCTCATTTTTAGGCTTCCCATTCTTACTGATCCTCCAGTTCTTGCTTTTTTTTTT